GAGCAGTCACAATTCCTTTAGCTTCAAAGACTCGGCTGAAGAATTACACACCAACACATATATGTTGTATCAATAGTCAAACTGTAATTGTATAAAGCAAGCATGAATAGAAATCAATGGTCATTGAGCTATTCCCCAAATATCTGCTTTGTTCTAATTCTTCTTCACTGTTCTTATTTTTCTATATGGGATCAGAGCCCATCTGGGCTAAAGCCACTCGATCCTGGATTCTATGACTCCCACTCAGTCTTCTTCTATTTCCTCTTCTGTAGACTCCCTAATCTCACAAAAGAATTCTTCCACAACCATGACCAACCAAACATCATCACTCCCTACTTCATTCAATATTTCTCATCTTTTCTCCATACCCATGGATCGTAATAACTATTTGTGCTGGAAGTCTCAATTTCAGGATATCCTAGAGATTCATGACCTTGAGGAAGTTGTGAAAAGTGATGCACGACCTGACAAGAAACTAGCAGATGGATCCATCAATCCCGCCTACTCCAAAGACAAGCTTGTGTTGAGTTGGATCAAGGCCACTTCATCCCCACAAATCAAAACTCTCCTTATTCCTTGTACGACAGCATCAGAAGCATGGTCTCTCCTTGATAAGAGACTCTCTCCTCTCTCTAAGACTTATATTCGTACCCAGCGAGACCAAATAAGGACCTTGAAGAAAGAATCAGAAAACACGGTTGCTGAGTACTTGATGCATGCCAAATCCCTCTATGATTCTCTTGTTGCGGCTGGATCTCAAATGACAGATGAAGAGCTTATCGAGTATATTCTCGATGGCCTAGGTCACGACTATAAGGAGTTCACAACATCCCTTCACCTCCGCTCCTCGCTTTCTTTTGATGAGTTCTATGACCTTCTCATTCAAGAGGAACAATTAATCAAGAAGATGTCTTCTGTTTCCCTTTCCTCAGGGATGGCTCTAGCAGCAGATCGATCGACAAATCAGCATGAAAATTCAGATAGAAGGCAATACAATAATAACCACTCAAACAACAATTATCAAGCACAAGGACGTGGCCGTGGACGAGGTCGAGGGTGGTATTCAAATCGTGACAGAAACTGGAGTAATGGTAACAATTACAAAGACCACAACTGGAACCAAAACAGTCAGAGACGAAGCTGGAATAAATCAAACACTGATCAGCAGCGTGGGAATTCATCATCAGCGAATTATTCACATCAGGTCTCATCAGATACTCGTCCTCCATTGCTCCCAACACCGATTCAGCAACAAAATTATCAGTTTTCAGTGATTTGTCAACAGTGCAACAAAGTTGGCCATACCTCAAGGATCTGTCCAGAACGAGGAAACTTTGCATACCTTGCTGAAACCAATAGTGCTGCTGTTTCATTACCAGGTCAAGTTACTTCACCCAATCACTCGGTTACAAATTGGTGCGTTGATTCAGGGGCAACACATCACATGACCTCAGATCCTTCATCTCTCTCTAATGTTCAGCCATATACAGGTACAGACTCCATAATTGTTGGTGACGGAAATTCATTACAAATATCACATATTGGTAAATCTCACTTGTCAATATCAAATGGGTCTTTGGTCCTTAATGAAGTGTTGTGTGTCCCTGCTATCAAAAAGAATCTTTTGTCCATACGTCGTTTTACTCGTGATAATGATTGTTACTTTGAGATGGATTTTAATGGTTTTTGTGTGAAGGACAACAAGACGGGCAAGGTTCTTCTTACTGGCAGTAGCTATGGCGACCTATATTACATTCATACCAGTCATCAGATTTCAGAGAAGCTAGTTTTCTATGGTGAAAGAGCAACTCAGGATGTGTGGCATGCTCGCCTTGGTCATCCCTCATCTGCAATTCTCCGTGTGTTAATTAATCAGTATCCCCTGCCTATAAATGGTAGCATTGTTTTTAATAAAGTATGCCATGTTTGTCCTCTGGGAAAATCTTGTCGACTCCCATTTTTTTATAGAAATTCTCATTCACAACAACCGTTGGAGCTTCTGCATCTTGATTTATGGGGTCCTGCTCCAATATCGTCAAATTTTGGGTATAGATTTTATCTGTCTATTGTGGATGATTGTACG